GTACATATTATTTATCTGGGTTATTTTTTTAATACAATATAAATTTTTATTATAACTGAATAATTTAAGTGAAAACACACTTATTTTCTTTGCTTTTTATTGCAGTGTTACAAAGGTAAATCTATATCTAGTAAAGAGATTTTTAAATCATATTTTATGTACATTTGATTTTTAGTTATATTCAAAATTATACAGATACTCATTCAGGTATATGCCTAGTCAAAGAACACTATTTTCCCATAGTAGCAGAAATATTTTACACTAATATTTTGTCTACTTGAAAGAGCTATCTCCCAACTTGTAAACTAAAAATACTATGTCATCCTGTTCTGAATTATTCTGTGAAATTTATTTATGAATTATTCTTGATATTTAATTGGTATAAAACAAATACAGAAGACCATTTATTTGGTGTCTCTAGTTGTTATTAAAAATTTCAGGGTTAACATTATTTTAAATATGGAAACATTTTGAGACAGTATATGAATAACAAATTACTAAATGCATTTTGATATTATTAAAAAGTGGGTATCTTCCATTACAACAATTTTTTTTCTATTACAATGACTTCTTTATTTATAAAGAGAGAAAATTCATATATTCATTACTAGTATATAAGATAGCAGCTCTGTATTCTGTCCCATCATCTCTGTAACATCACCATCTCTAGTTAAAGGACATATTTGGTACAGAAATTTACCATAACAGAGTGATTAATGCCAGTTATGAGAAAGGATACACAATAATTCTGTACCTGTGAATGACCTTGATTCTATATCTTAGGAGCTGCACAGTGCACCCTCTTGACAGATAGAAGAATTGATAAGGAAACCCAACTATTATTGTTACTTACGAGATGGATCTACCACTACTACTTTTTTAAAAAAAGGTTCTTTTATATATGGAAATTTCTTCACTTCCTATGGGAGACAAGGATCAGTGTAGTCAAACCATGACATCAGAGTTGTCCCTGTTCACGGCCCTCCTTCATACCCAGGACATGTTAAAAACTAGGAGAACAAGCAGGAAGAAAAGTTCTAATGTTCTGATTGTCATGCCTACAAATAGTCACTATTAATAGCTAAAGCTCTTAGCATTATTCAAGGCTTCCTTTTGATTCAAGTTCAAGAACGAAAAGATGAGTTCAATTAGTAAATTCAGTTGCCTTTAAAGAAAAAACCTATGTCATTAGGGCAGGAAAATCTTCTTATTACTTCCAGAAGTATATTCAATAGCTTAGAAAAAATAAGTACTGTAAATGAATTTCCTAAAAAGTTGCTTGGCCTAAATTCAAAATGCACTAAATGTTTACAAGAACTATGCCTCTTTGTAGCAATATGTGGAGTAATAATTCCATGCATACTGAATCTTTTACTAAGAAAGTCACTTACCTGTGTGAGGTCAGGAATGTCACCTTTATCAATACCAACTTGCTGTGGATTAAAAAAAAGAAATTACTTAGTAGGAATTTTTAAATTAATTTTTTTGTATATAATGGAAGATCACCCACAAAATTAGTTAAAACCAAAGCTCAATCTTTGACTGAAAGAATCATTTATATATATATCCTTCTCACTTTGAGCACATGCTCTTTATGCAGGTTTCCACTCAATATAATAGAGCAAGGATTTCATTAATATAGTTAGATATACAACAATGCATAGAATTTTACTAGAATCCAAAAAGAAAGAAAAATAAAATTGAAGCATAAAATTTAAAGGTATCCTCCATGGTTAATAACAGCTAAAAATCTAAGAAACTGCTTAGACTAAATTCAAATAATTATTCATTCCCAGTAAGTCCTCTGGACAGAGAATGTTGATTTAGTTTTAATAACTTGCTCAGGGTATAGTTTCCACCCTTTCTCCCACAGAGAGAACCACTTTGTTAGTTTCTTTTGTATCCTTCCAGAGTTTCTTTATGTATACCTAAAGAAATATGAAATATATAAATATATAATTATTTCCCCATTCTTACACAAATAATAGCATATTCTATACACTGGATTTATATTTTTCATTTAACAATTTATCTTAGAGATATATCCATATCCATACACAGAATATCCTCATTTTTTAAACAGCCATAAAGAACTTCCTTGTTCTGTAATTTATCTAATGAGTTATCTATTAATGGACATTGAAGTTGCTTCTAATTTCTTGCCATTGCAAGCAATGCTGTGGCCACCATTTTGCATATGTGCAGACATATCTGTAGGATACATTTATAGAAGTGGAATTACTAGGTAAAAGTATATGCAAATTGGTAATTTGGTAGCATGGTACTAAAGGGAGAAAGGAAGAGGGGAGGGGAAGCAAATATGGAAAAATATTAATAAAGGTGAATCAATGAAGAGACTATATGTGTTTATTATACTTTATCAATTCTTTTGTAGGTCTGAAAATTATTCAAAACAAAAAGGGGAAAACACAAATCACAAGTTAAATTTATTCATTTTATAAGAATAATGAAATTGAAGCTCAAAGAAACAAAGTAGGTTAAACCAAGTTCTCAAAATGAAGTGCTTTGATTATGCTGATGGAAATGTAGAAACAAATACATGTAGTGAAAGCATTGGGCTCCTCTAAAGACAATAAGGCAAACTGGAGATTGGAAATTCCATTTGTGTGTCAAATGCTGAATTACCTTCTTTCCTTTGCCTTTTCTATGTCTAGGGCAGGGCTTCTCAGCCTTGACACTATTGGCGTTTTGGGAGGATAATTCCTTCTTGGGTGTTGTCCTGTCCATTGTAGGCTATTTGGCAGCATCACTGGCCTCTGCCCAGTAGATGCCACTAGCCACCCATTCCAATGTGACAACCAAAAATGTCACCAAATGTTATACTCTGAGGAGGAGGAGGAGGGAGTAAAATTACTTGCTGCTGAGACCACTAGTGTAGAGCACTGACCTTCATCTCTCTGAATCAAATTATGTTGGGATCCAGAATTCTAGATTTTACCTTCTAATGACTAAACTCTGCCTTAAGAGAAGCAACTGGTGGGGCCGGCCCGGTGGCGCACTGGATAGTGCGCCGCTTGGGAAGCGCGGCGGCG